ACGAACAAACACTTTCCACCTTTCCCTATCCTGGACTAGCTTCGCGATATTCTTTGTCTTCCCACTTTTCTGTACACCATTCTCTGTGATTACTCCTCTCCATGTTCTACATGGCCTTCCCCTTGATCTCTTGCTTTGTGGAATTCAATCCAACAATTTCTTCGTTATGTAGCTGTCGACCTCTCAGATTCTGTGACTGGTTTCCCCTTTGTTTTCCATAACACTTCTAAGTTTTTCTGAGGGTCTTCACTCGATAAAATCGGCACTCAATATAAGTCACTTTAAAAAGTATAAAAGTACCATGAGCAAACTTTTGTGTGTACCATCCTCACTTAAATCATATTTTTTTAAAGAGTTTTTTTTTGGCCTCATGACCAATTTTCCAGAAACCAGTTACACAGTTAAAGCATGCCATCATCGATGTGTTATTGCAGAGCATCAATGCCACTAATCTGTAATGTCTGATATCAAGTAGCTCCAGGCCTTGATGATCATAAATGTTCATTAACACACACACAGACACACATACGCACACATACACACACACACAGACGCGCGCGCACGCACGCACACACACACATGATCACACCACACCTCGTCGGACGGTAAACAATCACAGAATTTGAAACAATGTCAAGAAAACTGAAGTCTATCTACAACAATGAAAAGTAGAAAAAGAATCGGGCTCTCGAGAAAACCAGTCTTCTGTGGACTTAGTCATGGAACTCATTATTCAACATACATGGCACAGCCTGTTTCAAAACATAGGAGTTCCCAGGATTCTGAAATTGGACGCTTTTAAGGACAAGCGGGTTAACCCAGATTTCGAGAATTTTCCAGAAATCTTGACCTACATTAAAAATGGGCGTTGCCCTACCTATTGGAGAAGTTTGGTTTCATTGGTGAGTATATTTGTTGGTTATAAAGAAAACTCTCCTTGACTTTTAAAGAAACTGAACAAGGGGCAAAAACTTTACCTTCGATTTTCTCAAAACAGCATTTTTCGGGACAGCCCCCTTGTGCTTAAAAGCGACCAATTGTAACAAGAGAAGACTCCAAGTTCCACCACTGCCACTTGTGTGTAGTTGTACTGCGTGGTCATAAAGCAAACATTGAGATCAAAAACATATGTACATCCTCATAAATCTGCATTATGATTACTGGCCTGAGTGAACTGAAGGACACAGAGTCCACAACCCCTTTCGGTGTAGAGGAGGCATCTTCTTTTTTTTTCTGTACATTTACAATCCCAAGCCTTGAACACTTTGCCATCACATTGTGGGGAAAATCCAAAGAAACTGGGTGGTAAACATCGCCAATCGGCGAGACGAGGCGGCAAAGTGTTAATCCAGATGTTTTTCACAACAGTCTGTTCACCAATGGCGGTCAAACAAAGAAGCAAACAGACTCTGGAAATGTCTGTGTGGGGCTGTTTTTCAAATTGCAAAATAAGTCTAGTAGGGCATAAAACATATTATGTTTATATATATATGAAAACATAAACTTATCACCAGTGCAATAACAACAGTAATTCGCAACTTCAAAAAAATAAAACCTCACAACAGAGACAAAACCTGATACCTATTATCAAACAGGCGTAAACCAACTTTATTTACATAACAACAGCCAACTGAAGCATTGCGTAAAGGTCACGTTAAACAATCATCATCATAAAGTGGAGTCTCACACCCTTACATTGTCTCATGAGGTAGTCTACACCCTTCTGTCTCATGGGGTAGCTCCATTGTAGGCATATTTAACTGCTCTGAGTGCTGATTATTACAGGACCTTCCATTTATCTTCTTTTTCTTGTTCTTACTTATTCTTTCGAACGAGCATTCTGACATTCAGCTGTGCAGCTGTTTTGTAGTAGGAGCAGTCAAACATGCACTACAGGCCACCTATACTAGAAGGCAATCTCAAGTACAAACGGCCACTTTCTATTTCTTCCCCTTGCACTTTTACTTTTTAACGTCTTTAATGACAATGTATAAGACATCCATCTGTCTAAGATGGCCACCTTACCCCTCGACAATGGGTGGCTGTCTTAGACAATTTCTATTGACTGGTATCTCTCTATACGGAACTGACAGAAATTCTCAGTTTTTTGTGTGCATATGAAGCAGAGCACTCCCATAACTATTCAAACAAAGCCTATAACAAAAAGCTTGACATATATATAACGTTACCAGTATTCTGGGCATGTAACAAACAAGGCCCGATGAATTATATTATATTCTGACTTGAGAGCAGACTCATTTCAACCCATATGTACAAATAAGCAATGAAAGAATAAGGAAAAATTAGAAAAAACAAAAACAAAATCGAAACTAAGAAAAAAAACAACAAACCCAACACGAAACAATTCTGTGTAAAATTCAAGTCTTCGAAGCCCAACAGACGAAAATATATCAAGAACTTTATCCCACATACGCTTAAAAAAAGTTTGACCTAGGTGCAATTGCCTCACAGAAATTGGTTGGAACTAACATCAGTGCTGTGCAGTTGACTACGGATGAGTTGATGTTTGCAGGGGAGTGAAAAAAGATCAACTCATCAGAAGTTTATCTTAACAGTTGAGACCTGAAAAGAAGAAGAGGTGCTGGGACCTGAGAAAAAAATCAATGTAACCGAAGATCAACTCAAGCAAGTGCAACACAAACGGAGTCGACTGTACTTAAAAACTTCAACAAGTGCGGTCACAAAAGTATATTTTCCTATTCCTGAACCTGCCACACGAATACACTCTTCCAACATCCACAGAAAACTACAGAAATGCCAAGGATATTTTGAATCTCTATAGCACAAGTTATTTATGCTTACATTGAAAACAGGCACCTAAGTGACATTTTAGAATAAAAACAAACAAGGGCTTACGAGGTAGCTAAAACTGGAGACTAGATTAAAAACCAATTCTTGTGTTGCATTTTAAGAAAGATAAAGCTCTACACCAAATGCCAATTTAACTTCATAAGCCTACAAGAAGCAAAATGAATGAACTAAAGCAGGAGTCTGATTCCATTATAACAAATTAAAATAAATATAACAAGACTTAACATAAAGAGACAGAACAGTCCCTTTCTTTGTCGCTCTGCTTTGAGAAAAATTTTCCGAAGCTGCCCACGTCGTACCCGACAGAAGGGTGGGCAGCAGTCTTGATGCTTATGCTGCCCACACAGCACCCATATATAGGAATCACCCTATCTACAAAAATGAAAGCTTTCATCCCGTGCGTACAAAGAGAGTAAGACAGACTGCTTTCTCTGAAGACAGACTCACTACCTGGAAGACTATGATTCAAGCACCACAGCTGGTGTTCGTTCGGTCGTAGGTCAGATGGTCCCATCAGTCAGCCTGTTTGTGCATGTATGCTACAGCGCTATTGATTGAAATATAAAAAATGCCTACTTGGAAAATGAAGTAAAACACTCTACTGTGCTGCAATAACATATACATTGCACTACAGTTACTTGTGCTGTGTACAGGGTGAACTCATGCATGAAAAGGTTAATGTCTGATATGGTAAGTAAAGACACTTAGTTCAACAATATCATCATTCATAACAAAATTTTGCAGAGTGAAGTTATACCCAAGGCAGATATTTTCATCCAATTTCCTTTAGATAGGGTTTAAATTCTCATTGATGGTGTCCAGATTTTCCTTTGTGGAAAGGCAAAAGCAACCATTTTGGCACGATCCTATTTGATCCTTCAAAATTAATGTGTTGAGATGCCGTGGAATCAGGTGCTCGTCAATTTTTGGGCATTTGGAGCTATTGGTATCATCTTAAAGCTTGTTCACTTGTCTTGCTTTAGATGAAAAAAATACCATCTGGTAACTTCTGTAGCTTAATGATATTTGGAAACTTAAACTTTACATTTTTTTTGGCCTTTAATCAACGTTTTTTTAGTAAAATTCACACACAAATGGGTTTTTTAATGGACATGAATGATGTTGGGGTAAAAAAATAAAAATTGCCCTTCAAACTGGCAGACAATTGTCATTTTCTTCCATTTCATTATTTTGACGAGTGCTTGATTTCACCAAGATGCTTCACAAATATGTTTGATATTATAGGTCATGATCGGGCACATTTGATGAAAATTACTGCCATAGGTTAACACTTGTCTCACAACATCTCAGGGTCAGATCTTTTCTTTTCACTCGGAATACAATAAACCCTAAGGCTTCTTGGTCAAGTTTCATGCAGCAAAGCAGCGGTCCATCTGAAAAAGTGTTCACTGACCAGCGCCACTTTCTGATGCAACCCAGCCTTATAAGATCACACAGAGTAAGCCCATTTGACTAATGGGCATCTCTTCTTAAACGAGCCAAAAATTACATTTTTCTGTTAAAAATTGGTAACAATCTACCATAAGGCGTAGCACTTGCCAACACACAATAGAAAATGTAAGTGTTTGACAGTCTGACCTCTTTGTCATCCCCAACTCCATGTTTAACCCACTGAGGGTGTCCTCAATATCCTTATCTCTCCTTTTTTGTGTCTGTTGCTCTCTAGTAACACCTCCAATCTTCCACACATATATGACCTTATTGTGTTGCAAGTGCAAAAAAGGTATTTTTGTTTGTTTGATTTGGGTTTATTTTAGGGAGGGGTGCCGCACGCATTCGATAAAAGTGAGACTGGAGTTTTGCGCTTCATTTGAGCATAAAAGCGATGCCCACAGCACGCACATGTTGCAAGGAAGTTTTTACACAGAGACTATGACCATTTCATTATCAAAAGAGATGTTGGTGGATGAACCACACTGGCAAACAAAATACAAAAATTGACAATTGAGTTATAGGAAGCACACCATCCCTAATATAAAAAATGTCAAGTTGAGCGAAGGTCAAATATTATCTTCAAAAACCCTAAGAGGAGTCGGGACTCTTCACATCACCTCTGGGTGAAAAAGTGATATCCCCTTCAAAAAATGTCTCACGGGCACCTTGAGATAAGCTTCAAATGTCTGGTATGACATTGTTTCATTTAATTATTTTTTTTCTGAACGAGAAGCTTTACAGCATGAAATGAGAGGTGAGAAAATTCAACCTGTGTGTGTCAAGACAGGGAAGCAAGAGGGTATAGGGTTGAGAGTGGACCAGCTTGTTTCTTTTTGAATAACTGAAGCTACAAGTGTCGTACTGAAGCTACCCCAGGTTTTTGCTGGTTCATTTGCTGGAGAACAAGTAAATGCCCAGTACCTGGGGAGTAGTTTTCTGGCAAGGGCCTTAGTAAACAATGGATTAACTTAAAAAAAATATAGAGGAAAAAAATAAGAAAGGATGCCTCCAAACTAAAAGGAGTAATATTTCATATTCATCCAGATTTGGACAATGCAGATAGGTCTTATCATTAAGAAGTCACAGCAACTTAGCTCACGCGAAGCCTATACCGTTGATGCAGCCACAAAAGCGCAAATCACTTTATGGGGTGGTTGAGTTAGTTATCATAGATAAAGCATAGGATTATAATATCTGGAGCCCGAAGGTTGAACGACTGTTTCATTGGAAACTGTTAAAAAACAATATTTAGACCTATTAGTCTTTTATGCACTAGTCATAAATGAAACTTTGGCCTTAGGAATCAATCCTACAAAATCCTCAAAAGAAAATATAACTTGGGCACTTGTATTCTGATTGTAACGGTTTATGACTCTCAACCATAACATTGTAAAAAGTCAGTTGCATATATATATATCAGTCAGCATCACATCAGCCAATATGCTCACACCAAGACACTGTTCTCATTCTTTCTTCCTCAACATATTATGTTAACTATAATATAGATTATATATATATACACAGTACTAAAACTTTCCCAACATTAGCTTACTCCTTTGTCGTTTTTCAGTAACGAGGAAAGGGTGGAAACGGTGGAAGTGGCCAACTGATGCGAGCCCCCTGTATTGGCATTTGAAGCAAGAGGTAAAGATGGAATATCTGTCAAGGTCTTGACCGTTGCTACGGTTAAATCCTTGGCCACCTGAACCACTTCCTGCGTGACCCTTTCCGTGACCAGTGAGATATTCGACGCTCGAGTGGTAATGTCCAAGGTCCCGCTAGGTGTTTCCTCGGTGCCCATCAATGACACCACCTTCTCATCAGACTTTCCCACGCGCTGCATGGCGTCCCATAGGCCCAGAACCGTGCTGAGGATAGAGAGTGAGAGAGATAGTGAGAGGGAAGAGAGAGATAGCGAGAGGGAGGGAGAGGGAGAGGGAGAGGGAGAGGGAGAGAGAGAGAGAGAGAGAGAGAGAGACAGAGAGAGAGACAGAGAGAGAGAGAGAGAGAGAGAGAGAGAGAGAGAGAGAGAGAGAGAGAGAGAGAGGTCAAAGGGTGACATAAGGGACACAAAAGCAGCTCTTCTCAAAACAATCATCCTGCAGTCATAAGCTATTTCTAAAGCCAATTTTTTTTCTTAGGTGAGATTTTTCTTCACGATTCCAGCCTTTCTCCCCCCCCCCCCCCCCCCCGCTCCCTCCCCACTCCCAAAACATTTCTATAAATGTATTAAAAATATCGTGATTTGTTGAAGGCAATAAACTTGAATACAAAACATTCCCTGTCTTCAAAAAGCAAGATTGACTTCTTCAACTTCAATGAATAAACCTTATCATTTATCCCAAACTTCTCTCTCTATGACAGAAATTAAGAAAAACCATTGAACTCACCCTAGAACACCAAGGCCAATCAGCAGATAATCAAACATCCTTTGTTTCCTTGTGAGATCACTGCGAAATAAAGACATTGAAAGAAAAGGACATTTAGAAACTTCCATCGTGGGTACAACCACAATTTACATTATCCACAGAATGAAGCACAAGTTCAGAAAGAGTGTATGGTTAAATCCATTGGCGATGGGTGGACCAAAATTTGGGTGGCGCTGTGATTGGATAAACGAGCAAGCCGCCAAGCGGATCACTCTGTGTTCATTGCATGCGATCATAAGGGTTTTAACTGTTTATTTCGTTAGTTAAGAAACTTTTATTTACTGTGGGCTGGAGTTTGGTTTGGTTGGGGGGGGGGGGGGGGGGGCTCAAGCCCGTGAGCCCTTCAGTACCCACTGCTACTGGTTAAATCTGTCCAAGACAGAAACGCAAGATAGCCAGAGAAAAATAGCTTCTTAGACATTTTCTACCTTGGATAGGGAAATTTAAAGAGGAAGAGGGGGTAACCAGAGGGCCAGCTGTACATGAGGGGATGAAGGGCCGCCTGTTTGATCGCCACACAGTGGTCAAAACTTCACACCTCCCAAGTGCTACCCTAACTGCTCTGATAATCCTTATTCATTTCAGGCAAGCTGCCCCCAGCGGCTTGCAGTAAAAACCGCTGTGTCAGTGAGCCACTTGGCAGGGGCTTGGGCACATTCTTTTACAATGACTTCGATGTAAAATTACATTTCGGCAATCGATGAAAGCAGGTCTCTTTCCCCGGGAGTTCAATCATTAGATGAAGGACTATCGGAATAGATTCACTTGTTTTGATGTATTGATCAATTTAGTGATGCATATATGTCAACTTTAAATTTCATGTCAAAAGAGGTGGGTTTATCCCCTTTGAAGATTAAGAGTTAGGTTCATTTGGAACAAGCTATGACTCACCCTTTAAAAAGGTTCATTTGGAACAAGCTATGACTCACCCTTTAAAGAGGTTCATGTGGAACACACCAGGTAGAATGAAAGCCAGCAGAGTACAGCAGGAGGCACCCACCAGAGCCATGAGGTCAGCAAAGTTGGGGATGATCAGGACAATCAAGCCGGTCAGGAGCACCATGAAGCCTCTCAGGACATTCTGAGGAAGACAGGAAAAAGCACAGACGTTTCTGTGACTTCTGATCCTGGTCATGTTGCCCTTTTTTTTTTTTTTTCGCACAGCGCTTTTTTACTGATCAGTAAAGAATACCATGTGCTTAACGCTTCACTGTTGGAGCAGTGATGGGAGAGCCGATTGCCTTACTGTACTCCCCAGAAGCTACGATGGGAGCGTCCATTCGCAGAATGTCTTATTTTGTTTCAATGTATGCATTTACGGCACTTTTCCTATTTGAACATTTCTATTGTCTGCAATAAAGATGGGTTATCTGATTACTGTTCAAATTAGGATGTGAAAAAAAAACAGGTTTTCAGTACACTTGAGACAATTTAGACCTGTAATTATTTCAGAACCGTTCTTTTTTTATTTACTATTTTTTTAAAAATAAGTGAGAATAAGTGAGCGGCTGTGAAGGAAAGAGGAACCCCCCAGTTTGTATCATGAGCAAATATATAAAGCTATTGATTTTCTTAGGACTCTGAAGTAGACTACAATCAAGAGTCTGATGGTTTTGATAAAGACAGCAGTGACAATGAGCTGTTCCTGGTGGCATTATGAAAATATTTACTTTCTCAATCGCAAATCACATATACTTAAAGAATACCATAAATGAATTCAACAATTAATTCATTTCCTTTTGTATGACATCAAATGTGTTAATGATATATTTGTGAGGCATCGTGGCGAAATCAAGCGCTCGTCAAAATAATGAAATCAAAGAAATTTGCATTTTTCTGAACGTTGGGCAATTTTTTTCTATTTTTCTTTTTTTGGCTCTACATCTTTTATATCAATTTAAAAACACATTTGTACGTGGATTTTACTTAAAAACATTGATTAAAGCCACAAAAAATGTCAATTTTCCGTTTCCAAGGACTCTAGCTGTGGAAATTACTAAACTTTGCCGGCCATTTTCTCGCTAATTTCACCTCTTAAACTAGACGACCCTGACCTCCTTCAATCGCAAATATTTCGACTTCTATTCAACGTAGATGGATTTTTTTTTTCACCAAAAGCAAGGCTTTCAGATGATACCAATAACTCCATATGCCCCAAAATTGACGAGCGCCTGATTCCACCATGATGGGACACATATGTTTGGGTATAACTTGTTTGTATTTTGGGCCCAAAAAATTTCACCCATCAAAAGCTGTGCCTTTTTGAAAAATCAATTCTGTTTAACTGGGGGGGATTTACGACAGCAAAGGGTTAATAATAAAAGTGACTCCAAGTTAAACGACCAGAACCTATGGACATTTTCTGAGAAAAGCCGTTTGGTCTTTGCTGTTTGCGACAGTTCCAGTCTGCACAAAATTAGTTTAAGTGAGAGTTTTACGGCACTTGCAACACAATCAGGTCATATAGGTGCCAAACATCAAAGGAGTTACAAGAGTAAGAGTAACAAACACAAAAAGGAAGGAGGAGAGATCAGGACGGCAGATGTTTGATAGAAAAGAAGGAGCAAACCACACAACAGCACCCATCAACCACCCAATCTGCACAAAATATTGATGATAACACGGAAAGAACTTGCTGTAAACTTTCCACATTTAAGACTTTTGGTCCACACATTGATGTTTGAAAAATGCTTTTTTTGGCATGAAAAAACAAAAACATCCTCAATGTAATTCTTAAGCATTGGACAGAAAACAATCCTTTCCCACATGTTGCAGTACTTACGCCTTTCCACATGGACTTTGCAGCGTCGTGGATGAAATATCTCTCAAGTATTTGCATAACAGGGTACATCATCACTGAGAAAGAAAGCGGGTAGATAAAAATCATAAAACTTGTGACAAACTCAAAGATACCCAAGAAAAATAAACAAAAACACATCAACTGCTAATTTCGTTTGAGTAAAGAGAAGCACATCAACAGACTATTGGCCATTTAGTGCTGGGAAACAGTATGACAGACAGAAACAACAGAAGAAAAGCAAAGAAGTAGGACCTACCAGTAGCGCCCTCCAACCACCCACTCAACTGCCAACACGAATTCAGCCGTAAAGGCAATAAATCACAATGTTAATTTGTCTAGTTAAATATACAGTAGCACATTGAAATGATCATTGTCACTCATTGCTAGAAAAGAGAAAGCAGGCAGACAGAAACAACAGAGGGAAAGTAAAAACAAAAAAAAGAAACTATCAGTGGCGCCCTCCAACCACCCACGGTAATGCTGATGGAATCAAAATTTATTTGCAAAAAAGTGTTGTTTTTTTTGGATGAGCTATAGAACTGTCCCCGTCGTTTTATGTAAGGAAAATTATGAAATTATGAAAACTGAGCCCAAAAATGTGAAATTATGCCATTCTATTAATTTTAGCAAAGAATGATAAAGAAAAATAATAAGAAATTATGCAAAAAATGATCAACTTTTGCTAAATTATGCGGGGTGCATAAAACTATGGGGACAGACAGAAGAAGACAGAAGACTTACCTGGATAAGTGCAGAACAAAGCCACACACAGGCACGATTTGACCAGGACGCTGAAGTTCAAACCAGCCCCTAAGGAAATATAAATGAACAACAAAGTAGTAAGGCTAGAGTTGTTTTAGTTAGAGATTTTAGTTTTAGTAGAGGTTTTACAGCGCTCGCAACTGCATAAGGTCATATGAGCGCCAGAAGATTAGAGGTGTCACAAGAGAGTAACAAAAAATAAAAAAGAAGAAGGGGAGAGAAGGACGATAGATGTTTGATAGGAAAGAAGAAGCAAACCACACCAGAGCACCCGCCAACCACCCACAGTTTTACGGAACTTGGAACAGAATAAGGTCATACAAGTGCTGATCAACAACAGCTAATACATTCCAAGTAAGACAAAAATAAATGAGTCTTAAGAAATTGCTTGAACGTATTATTAGGATTTGTTATTCCTCTGCAGTACTGGGGCAAGAAGTTCCAAATTCTTGAGCAAAATATGAAAAACTTCTCTTATGTAAAGATCTTAATTTCATTGGGGGGGAGGGGCTCTGCATTTCACTGCTGCAGTTGCATCAGTGGATGGCCGTAACTGACAGGATGGAACATACAGTGTTTGAAGCCCAGACAGATGAGATGGAGCATTATTGTTGAGGCATTTACAACTGATGATAGAAACTTTATACTGGATTCTTTTTTCAATTGGAAGCCAGTGCAAAGCTCTTAATATTTTTGACGCAGGATCTTTCTTCTTTTTCTCCGATCAATCGAACTTGAGTCTACGGACCACAGGCAAAGGACACCTACTGGATATGACTCGTAAAACATGTCAGGCATTGTGATGAAATCATGTGCTCGTCAAAATAATAAAACCCGAGAAATCGGCATATTTCTGACAGTTTGGACATTTGTATCAAATTTTTAATTTTTGCCTCAACATATTTTATGTCCATTTAAAAACACATTTATGCGCGGATTTTACTGAAAAACGATTAAAGGGACAAAAACTGTAAATTTTAAGTTTTCAAGGACTCTCAAGCTATGGAAGTCAACAAACTTTGGCAGCCATCTGCTCACTAGTTTTACCTCTGAACCTGGTGACCCTCACCTCCTTCACTCTCAAATATTTCAACTTCTATTCAAGATACAGGGATTTTTTCCCCTAGAAGCAAGGCAAAATGAATAGGCTTTAAGATGATACGAATTACTCTATATAAGTAAAAAAATTGACATCTCATCCCTTTGAAATCCACCGAGAGTCAAACTTTTTGATCAATCTTTATATCACCCCCGCCACTCCAGAAAAAAGCAAAAAAAACAAAACAAGACCCCAAAAGTAAAAAAAAATTAACAAGAATCAAAGAGCAAATCTCATAATCTTCAAGCTCCCTCACCCCCCATATAAACACACAAGTAAAAATGTGTACAGAACTTGAAGGAAACAGAAAGCAACAATAAAATATGAAAACAAGGCATTTCTTGAGCACTGTCACCACCTCACACCTATCTCCACCATTGTATTTCTCTTGCTAAATTCACATAAAGCATAAACACAAAGCTCTTACCTTTCGGAAGATTTAACGTGATAATCTGATTGGTTTCTGGTCCAAATGACTGAAAAAAGTAACATCAGATGAATATATGAACGTGCTAATAGAGGAAAACAAAACAACAGAACAAAAATGAGACAAATGAGACTATTTCAAACTAAGAATGAAAAGAATGAACCCAACACAACAACATTCCCCCCCCCCCCCCACCCAGCGGATGTACCCACTGACTGTCAGACCTATCCTACATCACTCTAACAACGCAAACACGGCATTAGGTCTGGCTGTGGATAATGGCCGCACAACCTCTGGAACAGATTACGTATGGCACAACCAGTACGGGTGTCTCCCTCCAACCACCCACACAGAAACGCTGACAAAGGAGTAGATCATGGCTGATAATCCATACAAACCAACCTGCCAGTGGTCGGAGGGTGCCACTGGCAAGTCATACTCCTATACTTTCCCTCTGTTGTTTCTGACTGTCTGTCTGGACTTTTTCCCAAGCACAATATATGACCATTATTATGTTGTTGTGATTATTTTTATTCAGACTCAAACCTGTGAGGTGAGAGTTGTTTGAGTCTCTCTCTCTCTCTCTTTCTCTCTCACTCTCTCTCCAACCACCCGCACCTCACAGAAAACAGACACACAGAACAATGAACCAAAGACAGAGCAGATAACATCACAGCTCCAATCCTTCACTTGAGAATCATTAGTGGTACAAGCTTTCAAGAAAACGATACTCCAGCAGAAATAATGAGAGTTTTAGTTGTAGCTTTCGCAAGTTTTACAGCACTTGCAACTTAATTAGAAGGTCATATTTTATTATAAGTGCCAAAGATTAGAGGTGTTACTAGAGAGTAAAATAAAAAAATAAAAAAGAGGCAGGGTAAGGATGATTGATGTTCAATTTTTTGTTTAAGTAAGAGCTTTAAGGCATTTCCAACACAAAGAGAGATAGATGTTTGATTAGAAAGAAGTAGCAAACAAAACCAAAGCACTCACCAACCACCCACAGATAAAGAAGGCTACTATACACTTGCGAGTCACACCCCCCCTCCCTCAAATAAAAAAAAAAATAATCAGACATCAGCAGGCAAAGATTTATCATTGACTGTTTCAACCTACCAGGTATCCGCAGACACCAAATGCTATGTAGAGGCTGGTCACAATTACCATTGTGGTTACAAAGTACCTGGGGAAGGGAGAAGCAAATAGTAAAATTACAAAACATTTCTTTTCTTTCTTTTTTCTTCTTAAATGTAAGACTCGGGTCTCCTGCATGAAAGAACAGAGAGCCTAGCCACTACACCACTAATACTGATAGAACATATCTGGAGTAAGAAAATAGAACAGAATGGTAAGTTAAGATAACATTTGTGTGTGTGTGCCTGGAGAAAGGTAACAGTGGTCAGAAATTTTGGATATTGAAATAACTGCATAATATCCTTGTTGCAAACCCAATGCTGAACACACTGTTTTTCAACCCAAACAGTTCAAATATCTAGAGTAGTTTTAAAAATATGCCACATTTTGTAACACAGGGTGTAAAGTTTGGAGAAAACCCCAATTTCTAGCACATTTTTTAACCTTGGTGAAGTACACAATGTTGCAAAATTAACTAACAAAGAAATAAACTAAACAAATCCTTTCAATATATTATTAAGAAACTGCTAAACCTGTGTTTTCTGATAGAAGTCAATTTTTGAACAGGTCGATCTATGATTTTTTTGCCTTTTCACCCGGTTGCCCAAAAATTGCTTTGCCGACAACTGGGACCTTTCTCCAGGCACACACACATTTGCCTGCGATAAATTGGTAATTGTATGGGTTTCACAACCTTTTCAACACTGAAAGAATTTAACACTAAGAATTTACAATCCATTTTCAATGGGTCAAGACTAAGTGGATGAAGAGTCTTGAAAAGCCCCCCCCCCCCCCCATTTGTTTTGTTTATTTGTTTGAGTAAAGAAGCACATCGACACAAAAATGGTCATTTGGTGCTGGGAAATAGTAAGACCGACAGACAGAAACAACAGAGGGAAAGTAAAGCAGTACGACCTACCAGTGGTGCCCTCCAACCACCCATTTAGTTCAAGCTCCATCGGGGATTCGAACCAGAGCCATATCCATACCATAACCCAGCATGAAGCATCAGAACAGAATGGCAAATCACAGAACATTTCTGTGAGAGAAGAACGACGTAAGACCAGAGGTTGGATTTTAAGCAAATGCACACAAACATCTGGCACTAGAAGTTCAAGGCCAGTGCTTTTAAGCTCAGGCAAGAAGAGCACACATGGGTAGGCTACTGTTTTGTTTCAATGAGCGTTTTGTGGCACTTGCAACGTTATCAGGTCATATATAAGTGCCGAAGATGAGGGGCGTTACAAGAAAGTAATAAACACACACAAAAAAAGAAGAGATAAGGATGATAGAGATGTCTGATAGGTAAAAAAGGAGCTAATCACACAAGAGCATCCGCCAACCACCCACAAAGCAAAATTTTTAAAAGACAAACAAAACGGAAAGAGAAAAGAAAAAAAAATAGGACATACCACTTGCCTTTGCCTTACCACCACCAGCACAGAGGATGAAGTCTAAGTAAACAGAAAAGCTAATGTACACAATGACAATCATTCATTCAGTGCTGGGAAAAATAAGTAAAACACATGGACAGACAGTCAGACGGAAACGAGGAAAGAAAAGAAAGGGACCCCCCGGAGGTACCCTCCAGCCACACGTGTCGAAGTCGTGAACTGACCTGGTGAAATGATGGCGAACTTCTTTGGCTACAGAACTTTCCAGAGACAGGATGAGTCCAGCACCCTAAGGAGAAGCAAAGACATGGTCATCCAAAAGTAAAAGAAAAAGAAAAAGAAAAACCCCAAAACACCTCCAACAAACCAACAAAAACAAAGATAAACAAATTCTTTAAAATCCCCTATTTTTAAAGAAAACAAAAGATAACCCAAAGGCTCTCGGACTCGCAACCGTAAGGTCGTGGGTTCGAATCCTGTCAGGGACCTGACGTTGTGTCCTTGGGTTGGGAAAGGCACTTTACACGAATTTTCCTCACTTCACCCAGGTGGGAATGGGTACCCAGCTATAGACAGTGAAAGATCTTGTGAGTTTGTTAGTGTTTGAGCGCGTGAAATCCGCAGCTTGCACTGTATGCTTCCCGGGAAGCTGAGAATGTTTCTGAGTGTTCTATGGTCTGCTGGAGTAATAATATAGTGTAAAGCGCATAGAGCTTGCTTTCGAGCGGGGTTATGCACTATACAAATTCTATCTATTATTATTATTACTGCTCCAAAACAAACATGGTCAACAGTACTACAAAGGAGTAACAAACATAAAAAAGCAGGAGAGATCAGGACAAGAAACGTTTGATAGGAAAGAAAGAGCAAACCACATCAGCAGAGCACCTGCCAACAAATGTGTCCTTGAGCCCGCCAATAGATGTGTCTTTGAGTTTGGTAATGAATGTCATGTCATACAAAAAAGTACAGTGGAACATGTCCTAAACAACCACCACTGTTGAGGAGTAAAAAAGTAATCTTAGATAGGTGGTCTTCTTGGACTATATCATAGTAATATAGAACAAACTTAGGGGACTGGGAAGTGGTCTTACGTACAGGTGATTGTCTAGGACAGACGGTCATAAGAGCAGGTTCGTTTTTTTTCGTAAAGAGTTTTACAGCACTTGCAACACAATAAGGTCATATATAAGTGCCGAAGAACAGATGTGTTACATTTACAAGAAAGTAACATACACAAAAAAAGGAGGAGAGATAAGGACGATAGATGTTTGAAAGGAAAGAAAGAGCAAACCACATCAGAGCATTCACCAACCACCCACAGAACAAGTTCAATTGTACAAGCCCAATGTTGTAATTGCTATATTCCTAAAAACATTTGGGAATTCAATATGAAAATAGTACATATATATAAATTCAAGCTGAAGTTACTACAGTTACCGTAAGACCATCTGAGCTTTGATTTAAGTTTCGCATTACTATTAAACACAGTATAAAGCAACAGGGAACAACTTATTAAGACTAATACCTCTACAACAACACCCAGGGCTGATTACTTAAGTTTTTATATTGAATAAAGACAGGCACCTAGACACAGTAACAATCATTTAGATTAGGTAGGAAAAAGCAAGAGAGACAGGTAGAAACAACAGAGGAAGAGTAAAGAAATACGACCTACCAGCGGTACCCTCCAACCACCCACTCATAAGTTTAAAGGAAATAAGCCTAAGGCCTGCTGGATTAACAACACACAGCAAAACATATATATAAAGGCTATTTCACTCCATTAATATGAAAAGATGTAAAACATTGAAGATAACGTTCAACAGAACAGTAAAAAAGATTTTTAAAATGCCAAAAATAGTAACAGCAAAAACTCGAACAAGCACAACATAATCCACAACACACACTAAGAAAGAGGGGAGAAAAAAAACACGAAATAAGAAAATCCACTCAAAACAAAGATTAAAATTCTTATCAGCGACGACCATCTATCTCCGTGTCCAACACAGTTCCGTCGGTGGTTGGCACGAGGCTGAGATTAATCCTTGAGAAACATGGACATGTTACATAACTTATGAGTGCCAAATAGAAAAGAGCTGCCATTCAAAGAGACAGAGCAAAGTAACTGCATATATTTAAGATGATACTTTATTGTCCCAGTGGAAAAGTTTTCTTGACTGTACAGAGACTGTAAAAAGTAAAAATATGCGTCGATACATAGAATTTAAATTAAATATTTCTTTCACACAGCCCTTTTTAAACCGAGCAGCAAGAATTGTGTCTGAAATGAGGTAGAACAACCACATCACCCCTTTTCTGAATAAACTCCGTTGGCTCTCAACAACATCTAGAATTACATAAAGGATTGCTGTACTTTGCTATAAAACTGTTAAAAATAAAGCCCTGACATATTTGAGCAAGTTATAAAACTCAAATAAACGCTCCACCAAGATCTGCAAGATCAGGGGAGCATCGAAGAAGGGAGGTCAAACACTTGCTGGGATTCTTCTCTCAACTGGCTTCATATATTTGTAGCTCTCTACCACAATATTATTATTATTTGAGGGATACAGTCGGAGACAAAATTTAAAAAATTCATTTAAAAACATACCTTATGAAATGCTATCTTGATAGTTACTCCTTCTCATTCATAGCACTCTTTATGTTCATAATGTGATATGCATATATCGATTGCTCAGTGGAAGACTGTCATACATCACTTTCATACGTCATTTGTCACTTTCAAAATGGTGTACGGCGGAGTCTTACTCTATACAGTCGATGTCATCACTGATTGTAATGTGATAGTATGAATGCGTGCTTGCGTTAGTGTAAATCTAAAGGAGCTTGCGTTAGTCAAAATCTAAAGAGCTTGCGTTAGTGCTAATCTAAAGAGCGTTTGCATGCATGTTCATATGTGTTTTGTGTTGAGATTTAGCGCTTGGAGCTGTCTTGTATGGGAGTGGACGCTATAAAAATTATCTGCAGTATTATTATTATCATCATCAATATTATTAGTATGTGCAATAAGACTTAACCCTTTGAGCCCTGACCTCCTGAGGCTACTGTGCCCCTCTGCCTGAGCTCCTGTCCCTGCAGTTTATGCAAAAAAATTTCTGAAATTATGCCAATTGAGCCCAAAAATGTGAAATTATGCGATTCTGTTAATTTTAACAAAAAATGATAGAGGAAAAATAATCAGAAATTATACACAAAAAATTTCAAATTTTGCTAAATTATGCGGGGTGCATAAAATCACGGGGACAGCTTCATGCCTTTATTACTCTAACATTTATAGCATCGTCATAATCAACATTCCATATCCCACATTGGGTAGTACTCGTCATTACCAGCAACTAATTAGAAAGATCTTCAAAATAATCAATAACGCCCCGTGAAGTTAACACAGTTCTCCTCGCTTGTTTTGTCCCAGATGGGCTGGGTTGGGGATAGGGTCTCGATCACCGCTGTACTGATGGCTACGTACACTGGCGATTTAACGCGCCGCTAGGGCTCAAAGGGTTAATTGTAAATTTGCTCAAAATACAACACAGACTTGGGTGCTGTGTGTGGGTGTCTGCATGGTAGGAAAGAGTAAAGTACATTGAATAGACATACAGACAACAGTACACACCAGCATACTGTACTGTAGGGGGAGGTCAATATGGTTTGTAAATAGAGAAGTAAGTAGTTTGAGATAGACAGACAAACCATAGCACTAGCATTAGCGATACTGTCATGTATGGTTTCACTTTAGAAGGAATTTTACGGCACTTGCCACACAATTAGGTCACATATGAGCCCAGGATTAGAGGCATTACGAGAGAGTAACAAACACAAAAAAGAACAAGGAGAGATAAGGATAATAGTTGCTCAATAGGAGAGAAGGGGTAAACCACACCAGAGCACCAGCCAACCACCCACGTAAATAGGTTTAAAATAGACAAACAAACCATGGCAATAACCACAGTGCCATGTGCGCTGAGAGGCAATAGTACAGGCCCGCATGCTGTAACTGTAAGTGGGTGAGTTTTACAGCAGTTGCAACACAATAAGGTCATAACATCTGATGAGCCAAAGATTAGATGTGTTACACGAGAGTAACAAACAAAAAAGAAGGGGGGTAAAGGACAATAGATTTTTTTATACCAAAGAAGGAGCAAATCATACCAGAGCACCCACTAACCACCTACAAGTGGTTGCCAGTGTGGTTGGTAAACACAGAAATAAGCCTACATAGGTTGGATGGACAGATCATAAGACAGCTTGAGAGCCGAGTATAGGTGTTTGAAGGTATTTCCTGTCGGAGAGTAAAATAATGCCTGCATTTATATAGCGTATGTCCATGCTCTGCAGCATGCCCCATGCGTTTTACAACTACCATAGACATTGGTTAAAAGGATAGGCTAGACCACAACACAGGGAAAGCAACTTAGATTTAACATTTGATTTTAGTGAGTTTTACAATACTTGCCACACAATAAGGTCATACAAGTGCCGAAGATTAAAGGTGTTACAAGAAAGTAACAAACAGAAAGAAGAAGGAGTGGCGACAAGGACGATAGATGTTTGAAAGGAAAGAAGGAGCAAACTATGCTAGAGCACACATTAACCACCCACAGAGCCACTTACCTCATAGCAATAGATGGCAATAACAAAGAAGAAGGGGAGGTTTTCTAGTGAGATTTCTCGAGGATGCATTCTGCAGGAGAACAGAAATATATACAAGGTGAAACATGTCTCAGGGAGAGATAGCAAACAGTGTTCTGATCCTACATGCATACATATATATTTTATATCACTCTAAAGCTATACAACTGTTCAAAACCCAAAAAAGCGAAATTATTTTTCAAGAAAAAAACAACTATTTCTCATTCTTTTGAAAGTACTGTATATAATTTGTATCTTTTCTTCCGTTTTTTTCCTTCAACATTTTGATTTTGAATTTCAATGCAATATTTCTGGAGCACATGACGCAACGGAGATCACAAATAAAGAAACAAATACAATTTTTTTTAAAGATTTGGGCTTGGTAGAGCTGAACAGCTGGTCAATGATAAGCACTTGCAAAAAATAGAGATAATAGCTGCAGGCAAACTGGGTATACTTCCAGCCTGGCATGGTAATTCACAGAGTAAATTTGAGCTGAAATCAAGGGAAAATTTCAGATCAAGATTTACATTGCACTACTTACAGATTAGATCAATTTAAAATTACTATTAAAACCACCTAACATTAGAGTTTGATTTGAGCAGAACTTCATTTAATGAGTGAAAATTCCCAAGCTTGTCAAAAGTGGTAAAGATTGTATACACATGCAATAGCTAAAGGACTAACATTCAAGAAAGCCATCTGAGGAGAATATTACAGTGACTATTCCCTGGTACTTTAAGATATTGCAGAAATAGTAAACCTGAAGCTTTTGCAACTAATTAACTGTCAATGGGAATTCTTTTGTTTTAGTAAAAGTTTTCCTGCACTTGCGATACAATTAGGTCATATTAGTGCCAAAGATTAGAGGTGTTACAAGAAAGTAACAAACACAAAAAAGGAGGAGAGATAAGGATGATAGATGTTTGATAGGAAAGAAGGAGCAAACCACACTAGAGCACCTGCCAATCACCCATCTACACTCAATGTGAATGTACAAATAAATAAACATCAGTAAATAGTATGGACAAACACAAGAAGTACAATTTAAGGGAGAGTATCAATAAATATAATCAATAATGGAAATGTTGCAGATGAATACGTCGTACATTCTTCAACATTTTTTTTACAGAAACTAGTTCTGTGGACTTGGTGGTGAGAAACAGTCACTGAAGATATAAAACACTTCTTCCACTATCTTAGTTCTGGTAGGACTTTTAGTTTAGTTTTAGTAAGACTTTAAGGCACTTACAACACAATAAGGTCATAAGAGCCAAAGATTAAAGGAATTACAAAAGAGCGACAAGCACAAAAAAATAAGGAGGAGAGATCAGAACAATAGATGTTTTGATAGGAAACAAGGAGCTCTTGCCAACCAACCCGTTCTTCCACTATAACACTAACTACGATCATGCATCAAGTCCACTTATTTTCTTTTAACTTCCAAAAAGACAGCTTCACCTAAAGGGTCACAAAGTATGTAGTTCTGAGTGTCCGACCACAAAATAAAAAGAATACTTGAAAAGCGACAAAAGTTTGCTGAAATGAGCAGTCAAGTGCCTGAACATAAGATCGAGAGAGAAAAAAAAAGAGAGAGAAATAACGAAAATCAAAACGGCTCCCGCCTTTTTTTTTCCTTTCCTGAAAGCAGCAGTAATTGGACAGCCACAGATGGTAAACACAAAGCGAAAGATCAGAGTTTTCCTCATACGATTCTCAAACAACCAAATTTGATTATTATGGTCATGCCCCTGTCCTAAATAGAGTGTCTGTCAGTCTGAGACTGTAAATAAATAACTTCCACTTTCTTGGTGGAGTCAAATTGCTACCTCAGAATTTACAAAGTTCTATCTGACATTTTTGGCCGTTTTGAGTCACTAAGACCATGAGGTCAGAAAGTAAATGCTCTATCTGCTCTATCAAAACCGTGAGAATATTTGGAGTCCCTATATGGATGTTGAAAGAAATGCACTTAAAAAAGATTGACATTTTGAGAAACTAAACAATTTTGAAGTCAAATTTCTCAAAACAAGGTATTGAGCAGATAGAACTTTGTAATTCTAAGGTAGTGAAATCATAACTAGTATTCCTTAAATTTTACTGAAGAAACTACATTATCACACTTCCTAGAGCTGAATTATACAATTATATATACACCTCAGCTTCAAGCAGCGTTTAAGCTTATTGATTCGTTGAATAGATACATAAAATACAAAGAAATGCATTGCATACTGTTAAAAGTTGCAAGAAAATAAGTTAATCCAATTGGTTTAATTAACTTTCTAGGTACAGAATGGTCAAACTTATTATTCATCTTGCAATAGTGACAGCATGTATACATTAATACAGTTGAACTCCTAATTTCCACTTGTCCAAGACAATCACCAGTACAAACGACCACTCCCAACGCCCCCCTGCATTCTCTTTTGAAACATATGTGTGCGCCTGGAGAAAGGTCCCTGTTGTCAGGAATGTTGGATATCAAAATGAGGACATATTTTTGTAGTAAAGTAAATTCAAGGCTGAATAAAATTTTTTCCCCAAATATCTTGAGTAGTTTTAAAGATATGCGAAATCTTCTCAAACAGGGTGTAAAAACAAAGTTTGGAGAAAACCCCAACTTCTAGCACATTTTTAACCTTTAGTGAAGTACAACATGTTGCAAAAATAACTAATATAAAATATTTAGACATAAATATTATAAAATCCTTTCAGTATGTTATTAAGAAATGGTTAAACGTACGTTTTTTTGAAGGAACAGCATTTTTGACCAGGTATGACTCTTTTGGCCTTTTCATCCTGTAGCTCAAAAATAGCTTTGCTAATAACTAGGACTTTTCTCCAGGCAAACACATACATTTGACATTGTCCAAGAGGTCTACTTGTCTAAGACGACCACTTTTCTCTGCGACCATGGGTTGTTTGTCTTGGAAATGTTCGACTGTACACGCATATTTCACACACACTTACATAAACAACAGACTGCACAAAAAAAAATCAGTCACCAAAATTTCTACAACGATAATGTTTCAGGACAACATTCTTTCTTATCTCATTAAGACTCAGCATCAAGCACAGACCAAGTGCTTTATGTTTTATCCCCTATTGATAGTACCAGACTTACAATTGTTCGAATAAATAACACAAGCAAAACACTGAATAGTAATTTTGTTAAAATATATCTTATTTGCCTCCCTGTCCCCCATTTTGGACATTTTCTTATTCCTAAAATGAGTTTGTGAATTTGAAGGCCATTATTACACACAGGTGAACAGTTTTCTGAGACAGACAACACAGTATGTTGAAGAGAAGACGAAATACATACACTACACTGATTTACTTATTTCATTGTGTTATAATGTGTCCCTCACCACTAGTGCCCCCCCCCTTCCAATAAAATATTTAAAAAAAAAATATATATCAATAAACAAATGAATAAATAAACAAATAAAAATGATTAAAAAGATTATAATAAATAAATTGATAAAACTGGAAACAAAATAAATAAGAGAAAAATTATGGTAGAAGATGCTAAAAGACAAAATTTACTATCTAACTTTAGACTACCCAGCACCATAGAGAGTTTGTGTTCAGCTATTAGAAACTGTTGGGAAAAGAAGCAGAAAAGACTGGAAAAAAAAATACACAAGGGGTCATTGGTGGTGTGACGTGGTAGAATTTTTTTT